AGGAAATTCCGAGGTTTATATTTACAGGGTATAGTAATGGGGCGTTCCCAGCCCGCCCCTCCCAATGATCCACTGATTGGCTTATTTGAGGTTGATTGGCAGTCTGGTGCTTTATGTAGTTCCCGCGCTGGCCGTGTGGTCCTCCCATTGGCGGATGGGCCCGCCATGTCGCTCCCGGGTTGGCTAGCCTCAGTTTCCGGGTATGTCCTACTTTGTACTGCTAGGAAACATGAAACCAAGGCCTGCCTGAGGTGGCAGAGCCAGTCATGGAGGCAATCTGGCTTTACAGCCCCTGGCCTGGTTTTAGCTGCTGATAATGATTTTCTCCATTGTCTCTTCCACCCCCCCTGCCATCGAGTCAATGTTGACTCATAGCGGCCCCATGGATTTCTGAGACGATAACTGTTTATGGGAATAGAAAGCCCAGTCTTTCTCCCTTGGAGCTGCTGATGGTTTTTAATTGCTGGCCATCCCAACCGCAGCCCAACTTGTAACCACTAAACCACCAGGGCCCCATTCTCTTCCCACAATTGAGTCAATTTGATTAATGTGTAATTCCATCTGGAGAAGTCTATGTATATAGTCGCTGTTTGTGTTGTTGGAAGGGGGTATTTGTGAAAAACTAGTTGCTCTTGCAACATTTTGTCATAGATCTCCAGCTTTGTTTCTGTCCCCAAGGCCACAGTTTCCAACTCCCATCCCTTCCTCTTTGTTTCCAGCTTTGACATTCCAATCACCAAGAATGATCAGAATTGTGTCTTGATTGTATGTTTGCTCAATTTTAGACTGAAGTCATTGGTGGAATTTGGACAATACCAGTCGATTTCAGCTCATTCATGGTAGAATGTTGATCTTCAGGCATTCCATTTCATTGTTTATAACCTCCAGTTTTCCAGGATTGCTGTTTGCCGCTGTTTCTTCTCGTTTTCAGGCATCCCCGTGAGCAAAGGAGGGTCTGGAAGGGTTTCCTCCTGCCTCTCACCATATTCCCACCTTTCATATTTTCTTCACAATACTTACCATCATCTACAATTATCTTGTTCATTTACTTAAATGTTTACTCTTCTTTTAACTTCTCATAGAAACTAAGATCCAAATGAAAAACAGTTCTTAAAAAAAGAAAAATGTTCTTATCTTATTATATGTATCCTTAGTAACTGATACATTGTGCATGCTTAATAAATCATGGTGAGAAATCTTGAAAATGTCTAATTACTAAATAATCATCAGTTAACAATGCTTGACTCTATCAGGGAAAAAGTAGATCATTGTTCTCATGATAAAACTGATGATAAAAAGCCAAGTGATTGAATTAGCAAGTTACATAACCTGACTAAAAATAAGTCCTATCAAATCCATTTCTTTAATAGCTTTCTAATCAGTTTACTTCACTCCATCCCATTCTCTGTCTCACTCAGGTTATCGTTCACTGAGAGTACTGTAAAAGATTTTTCTAATTTTCTCCCAGCTGTTAGTAAGAAGTAAAACCAAGAAAAGGGCTTTTGTGGGGGAAACCAGCCCCTCACAACTATATCACAGGTCTGATAGGTGCAAATGTACGGTTATGCTATATAAAGAGTATAATAAAGTCATGGAGAATGACAGAGATAGGAGAGAGTAAAATGAAGGCGTCAGACACATTTCATAGTAGCATGCTCACCTCCTGACCCGCCAGTGACCTCACCAGCCAGGTCCTTACACAGCTCAGGCAGAGAGGACAGGAAGGTAGTTTATTTCTAGCCTAGGCTGATATATTTTGGGGGGCATGAATAAGCCCCCCTGATTACATATGACCACATACGCAACAGGAAGGGGGTATACAATAGGCATAAGCGTGACAGGAAGGGGATGAGCTAAAGGAAGGGGAGGGATTAGAGGTACACATGTGACAAGATGGGTGGACCCTAGACTCAATAGGGCAGCCTAACATTGGTCACCCTTGAGTGGGCTTGACCTCTCTGGGCTCTCCTTCAGGGAAACAATCAACTATCCTTATTAGAAGGGGGTGGGCCCTACTTAGGGTGGGACAGACTATACAGTCTGATTACTCTAGATGACTGATAATCCTTAGGGAGAATAACCTCTGACCTACTTTAGTTGACCTCCAAGTGTACAGTCATTTACCATGTGCAGTAAGCGGCATCTTGGGTTTGGCATATTTTGGGGGAGACAACTTGGGAGAAATCTTTCTGTAGCCCACAGGTTTTCAAGCTGTTCTTTCTTAGACAGTTCCTTTACATCTTTCTTGAAAAAGTTTGGTCCCCCAGTGCTGGATGACATGCCTACTTAGCATTCTATGCTTAGAACCATCCTAGCATTTGCTGTGGTTGTCAGGCACTGTCAATTTAGTTCCCCATAAAGATTTAGTCTCAGACAGTGGAACAATCCCCACAGAGGGGCCACAGGGAAGAGATGAGTCACCAGGGTGCAGTAAAGCATTGATGAAACACACTATACTCCTCTGGTTCCTTGAGGCTTCCTCACCCCCACTACCCTGACCCCAGTGCTGCTTCTCAATTCAGACTAGACCGGAACATGTACACAGGTATAAAAAGGGATGGGAGCTCAGGACACACAGAATCCAGGAACAGGAGAGGGAATAGTGATACCAGAAGGG